AGTGACTGAGGAGAGTGCCAGTCCACAGAATTCCCGGAATGAGTATGGGCACGGAGGGACACATCTAGAGCCGGGAAAAGGAACGCGGGTGTAGACGGCTAGTTTTAAAAAGCCAAGCAGCTAATTAGGCAAATGGAGTCTGGTGGGGTCACAAATGCATTGTGTTCTTTTTTTGTTTGATTTTTGTTTTGCGGACCTGGGGATGGAACCCAGGGCCTCGTGCAGCAAGGCAAGTGCTCCACCACTCAGCCCCAGCCCCAGCCCCAGTCCCAGCCCGGGTAGTATTCTTGACAGCTGGGATCAAGGAAATCATGGGCAAGGTAGTTGGGAGCACCACACAGGAATAAAAAAAAAAAAAAAAAAATTGGTGAGAAGCAAATGAGGACTGGGATTATAGCTCAGCGGTAGAGAGTTTGCCTTACACATGTGAGGCACTGGGTTCCATCCTCAGCATCACAAAAACATAAATAAAATAAATAAAGATATTGTGTCCATCTTTAAAAAAAAAGCAGCAGCAACAAATAATAAGGCAATGTCTGTAGTCAGTAATGAGAATGACAAGGTTTGATGATCTAAGAAATGATTGAAGTATGTAGTTCAAGTGAGTTTTACAATTCATTAATAATATTTTTAAGATATTTTTAAATTGCCAATGGACCTTTACTTTACTTATTTATATATGGTGCTAAGAATCGAACCCAGTGCCTTGCACATGCCAGGCAAGTGCTCTACCACTGAGCCACAACCCCAGCCCAATAATATTTTTTTATTTTTAGAAAGAAAAATGACTCCTTTGGCTCTTTTTCAAATTTGCCTGTACTTTTTGCAAAGGTTCTGTTTGTTCAGTGAGGTTTCTATTCCTTCTCTTATATTTTTTAGTTAATTAACTAATTTAAAAAACCCTTCTCTCTAGTCTCTTCACAGGTATCCCTAATCCCTTTCCCTGGAGACCACTTCCTCTAATTGCCAACTCTTCCTGATGATGGTTCTTCACATGGTTGGTAGAAAAAGAGGCCAAGTATACAGATTGAGTGGGAAAGATTCTGAACAATTGTACTATCAACTTGTCCTTTATGTAGAAAGGCAACAAGATCACATAGCAAAGGACCCAGGAAACACACCATCCACATGCCCTTATTTTTAAAAATCACATCAAATCTCACACCAGCTACCTATGAGTTCAATAAAAACAATAACAAGGGCTGGGGATATGGCTCAAGTAGTAGCTCGCTCGCCTGGCATGCATGAGGCACTGGGTTCGATCCTCAGCATCACATAAAAATAAAATAAAGATATTGTGTCCACCTAAAGCTAAAAAATAAATATTAAAAAAAATAACAAAACTCCAGGGTCTATTAGAAAAGGGGGAAAGTGAACCCTAGGAATTCATCCTGAGGCTATAAATGTTGGCAAAGGGCTGGGGGTGATGCTCAGTGGTAGAATACTTGCCTAAGATGCACCAGGCCCTGGGTGCCATCCCCAGACTGCTCAATAAATACATTAGGGAATTCAATTAAATAAAATGCATGCAAAAAGTTATACATACAGATACTAATAAGAGAGAGAAATGAAAACAAATGTCCTAAATTAGAAGAGCCACATGACAGACTGTCATTGAGAATGTTTACCAAGAGTTATTGATCACACTGGGAAATACTTAAGATCCAATGTGGATTTTAAAACACAGGGTTCAACCATATAAACAAGAAAAGCACAGAAGAAAAGGTAAACATGCCAAAACATTGACAGCAGTGTCTTTGGATAGTAAGATGATAGATATTTTTAGTGTGTATTTTGCTTTTCTATACATTATCAAGGTTCCTCGATGATCCATATTAATTTCAGAAAAGACTAAAATGTATACATTTTGTAAAATGAAAGCTTCCAACAAGAGTAGCAACTGATAAAAATCTTAGATACCTGAGCAACATTTAATATGAAAAATAAAATAGGATGCTATGCTCTGACATGACAGCCTATAGTTTATTCTCAACACAGCAGCCAGAGTGTTCTTTAAGAGTGGGGAGAGAGAGATCATGTCCCTCCTCTACCTGAGACTCTCCAAATGCTCCTCATCTCACGGACTACAAAAGCCAAAGTGCTTACAATGGTCTGCAAGGACCACTCTGATCTGATCTCCTCCCACATCTCTGACCAACCTCTCCCAACCTTGATGTCGCTCCAGTTATGCTGGACTCCTTGTTGCTGCTCAAAGCCACCAAGCACAAAGCTTTGCATTTGCTGTACCCTCTACTTGCAATGTTCCCCCCCCCCATATCCACAGAATGTGCTTCCGATCTCTGCTCAAATGTCCTTTTATCGGTGAGCTCCTCTGTGACCCCCATGTAAAACAGCACTCATACTACTGCTTTCAACACCCCCTTTCCCCTGAGCACTTTATTGTCCCCCGTGAGGTTACAGCATTTACTTGACTCTGCATGTTTTCTCCCTCTCCCATTAGAAGAGCTACTTTGCCTGGCACATAGAAGATGCTCAATAAATATAGGTTGACTGCCTGAACGAATAAACACATTGGATTATAAACTCCACAAGAGCAGAGGGGCTGAGGCTCACATTGCTGCATCATTCGGGTGCATAAAACAGGCAGCAACGCCAGCCCGACAGTCCCAGGAACATTTGACCCGCATTTGACTCACTCCAGAAAAAACTACTTCCAATTATAGCAAGAGATGATGGAAGTGAAGCACCAAAAGGAAAGGCAGATTAGAGTGCTGGGCAGAGTGGAACAAGAGTTTCCATCAGAAAACCCAAGTTCTTCCATTAGGATTTGGCTTTCGCCAGGAGACAGAACACCACATTCTTATCAGAGTCTCAGAACCAGCTCTACGTGGTGCTTCAGATCGGACATTTTCAAATGCCCTAGGATGCTATCTCTTTGTTATGATTAGATATTTTTCTAAGGAAAAGAAAAGGCATTAGGAAACCTTTTACCCTGCCCTTCTTCCCACCCCAAAAGCAGACAGGAAACTCAGCACCGGGATGTGGTCCCCATGGGACACAGACCATCGGCATGTTCGCCGCCCCATCCCTACCTACTGTGTGTCCACAGAATGGGTGACGCTGAGGACAGCGAACATTCTTGATCTTGCGAAGTTTTATTGGCTTCTAAAAATTCAAGGACAAACTGATAGCCTAATGCATAACCTCATATTCTTTGCCTTAGGAAAGATAAGAAAATTCATCCTAAGCTATTTTGGACTTTTCTGGGCCCTGGAGAGCTCTGGAGATTAGGACGGGCTGGGCCCTCCCTGCATGTGGTAGGTCAGGACTATTAAGGAGTATGGAGGTAACTCGTGATGTGGCCAGACGGGGCAGCAGCCTCCGCGGCCCTCCGCTAGCTGATTAAGTTTGCAAAATTCATCTTTTCTTCTCCGCTTTCTTTTCCTTGACAGCTCCTTGACCTCTGACCTCCCTTGGCTCACTTATGACCATCATTTCATCCTGTAAAAGTGTCTCCCCTCAAGGTCATGTGTGAAGGAATTTCCTCCCTGGAGGATATTGACTGTCAGAACGTTGAAAGGGGCCCACTGAGACCCAGAGACCCAGGAACTTTCTGGCTGGGGTGGAAGGGAAGTTTCTAATATTTAAGGAGTGCCAGACATTTTGCACCCTTTAAAGATCCTGCTGAATTCTTGCAGCATTTCCATGAACTGGGCATTATCATCACCATCTGGGGATGAGGCACAGGGACCACCAGGCAAGGCCAAGTTCTAGTTCACTCTCCAAGGTTCTGCCCATCGCCTTCTCTCTTCCCAACATGCAGCAACGACAGATGGAAATATTTTAAAAACAACAAAAAGGAAAATTACACGCGTTCAACACCAAGATCTCTCTCTCAATATATCTTGTGAAGCCAAGGCTCAGTTGGCAGAGTGCCAGACCCAGAAGCGGGTGGAGGCCGCTGGGAGATGCTTCTTCTAGGATATGGGGACTAACGTGTCCCAGGAGAGGTGGGGGACCAGGGCTGAGTCACTAAAAATGGGGCTGGTGAGGAGGCTCTGCACCTGGAAGAGGAGGCTAAGGGTCAGGGAGATCCACAGAGGGAATTGGCCATGATGAGAAGCTGCCAAAGATAGGATCTTCAGGAGACAGACGAAACGGCAGAGCAGCAATAGTCAAAGAAGCTACGAATGAGAATTTTCCAGAACTGAGAATATTTTATGGATCCTCAGATGATAAGCACATACCAAGTGCCAAGTCAGATCAATAAGAAGACAAATCCATATCTGGAAAGCCAGGGACATGCTCCCTTGGCCAGGCTCCTTCCATCCCCGTTCTGCCTCCCCATGGCCCTCCCCAGAAGCCACCTGTGTAGTCCTGCTGTTTTTGCTCCATCCTGATCTTGATGCAATGAGGAAAGCCCCTGGGCTTGGGGCTGGAAGATGTGGTTCTAGGGCGCCCCCATTACCCACCCCCCCCAGATACTGCCTCAGCATCCGCAATTTCCTCCCCGGAAGGGGAGAGAACTGAAATGACACAACCCTAGCCCCAGAAAGGACTTGGGAGAGGGCACACTGCAGCAGGCCCTGGCTACGCTTGGTTCCAGGCTACGCTTGAGGTGCCATACCCCTCCCCCAACTCAGTGTCCACAAGTCACTTAGCCACTTGTGTCTCTATTTCCCCACCAGGAAAAAAAGGATAAGAACAGTGGCCACTGATGGGGTTGAATAAAGAGGAAATGAATGAATAAACCTAAGGAACTCATCAGCACAGGGCCAAGAGCTGAGTAAATGTGCACCATGGATAGCTATAATTACAGCCCCCCCCTCCCCGCCCACAAATGCCACATGCCACTGAAACCGTACACTCCACAAGCACAGAACCAGGGCCTGCTGCTGTATGGAGGTGGTAGGCCAAGCTGGTTGTCCCTCTGCACCCTTCTCCCCTGGATGGTCCCCTCCTTGATCTCTAGAGAGGCTCCTGCCAGCGACCCACCACGTATCCCAACACGTGAGTGTGCCCAGACCCAGGGGCCCTACCTCTCTTTGCTCACTGCAGATCTTACACAGCCACAGGGGCCGCTTCTGGCCAGGGGAGGTCTCGATCCCACATTTGGTGCAGACTTTCTACAAGAGAGAGGACACAGGAGTGTTAACACTTCAGTGTGTTCCCCCTCAAGTGAGGAGGGGCTGGGACAGCCAGAAACAAGAGTCACCTTGGCATCTTCCCAAGGATGATGGATTTTGCTTCGGGATACAAGGACAGATCATCCAAGAGGCACGGACACCCTCGCTTGGCTCTGGGGCTCAGTGGAGGGGTGCTGTCCATGCCTTGATTCCACCCCCATAATTATATTCTATTAGGACCTCATTAAAAAAAATAAATCTGCGGATATTAACAGCTACATCATTTTCAGCAGCAAAGAACTGGAAATAACCCAAACGCCCAGTACCAGGGGAAGAGCCAGGCAAACACAACAGAATGTGGTGCGTCCTTCACACGGCATGTGCTGCTTGCTACCTGGGCAGGTGGGCGGGAAGAATGTTATCCAGCACAGAAGACACCTGTTTGTACATAACCATGCAAAAAGCTCACACACCTGCCTGTCAGGTTAGAGGACCCCAGTGAAGCTTGAGCGTGTACTTAATGCCAAGCCCTCTCCCCAAAACGATCCCAAGACCCCCCTGTGCAAGCACAAGGCCCACTTTACAGGTGAGGCATCCAGGCTGTGGAGGAATCTGAGAATTTGCCCAACATCCTGTGGTGAATTGGGACTGGGTTGGGGACTGACTCTGGAGCCATGATATCATTTCCTCAGGATGCAGAAATAGCCAGAACTCCGATCCCAGTGTTTTTTTTCCCTTCTCCAGAGTTGTTTCAGCACGTAACGTCTAAATACATATTTTGCTTCCCCTAGAGGCACGGCAACCAGCAATACTGAGGAGGCCAGAATAAACACACAGGGAGGCAGAGGTGGATTTGTTGGGGCTGAGACTGGTTCCCAGCCCACCCCGGGCATGATTCAGCGATGGTGATGGTGATGGTGGCTCCTTCTCAGGGGACTTGGAGCCTCCGGTGCCTGCAGAGGAGGGGGCTTTCTCCAGTCCCTGCTACCCCTCCCCCCACCAGGCGAGGGAAGGCTGGATCTGTTACTTGGCCTTTGCTGCAGGCTGCCAACTGAGCAAGGAGTGCACCTCTCCGCGGAGAGGGAAATGTCACCAACTTGGCTTCCCAAAGCGTGTGTCACCAGCCTGATTGGGTGGCTGAGCCTGGGCGCTGCAGGAGAGGAGAGGAGAGAGAGAGTCTGCACTCGGAAGTCAGGCTGTGACACACTTGTGGGGGGCACGGACTGGCTACCATCCCGAGCTCAGGTGTGAGATACGTCACTCCTCTTTTCTTTTTCCAAATATAACAGAATCGGCTCCAAGTGCCCATCCCTCTCAGAGAAGGGATGGGAAGAGGCGGAGAAGCCCTTCTCAGGTCCCTGTCATTACAGGGCCCCCTCCCCAGCTCTCAGGAAGGTCCCAGGCTGAGGGTCTGTGGTGGTCCAGCACGTCTGGGAGGGTCTCCTGGGCACTGTCTGCTGCTCTTTTCTTGCTCTCTGAGCCATCAGGATTCTTAAAAGGGGTGGGGATGGCCACCTCTGACAGCCCTGAGTGTCGGATCTTTGCCAGGCTGGAGGTGAGCCTCTCCACGGACCAGCAGCCTGTCTCCCTGGACCCCCAGCTGCCATCCCCGACCTTCCCCTGAGGGCTGCCTCTCTTTACCCCTCTTGCCTCTCATCCCCAATCCTGATGCCTCTAGGGCAGGGTCCCCCATCAGTCAAGGTGGGCCTCAGGCTGCAACCTGGACCTCTGTTAGAAGAGGGGACACAGGGGCTGAAACCTGGTGGCTTTGTTTCCTTGCTAATTTCCACGATCCCCCTATACAGAGGGCATGTGTGCAAAACGGCCCTCAGAGAGGCCAGACTTTCCTGATGCATTCTGAGGGGTTTTGCTGACGGCTCACCCTAAACACTGTGCGGCTCCTCCCAAGGCTGCTGCATGAGACCTTGAGAATCAGGTGGGAATAAAACACCGATGGCTGCCAAATGTGTGTGTGTGAAAGGCATGGGGACCCTGGACATGACGTATGAAGGGAGAGTTACAGTCCCCATGGTACAGATGGAGAAACGGAGGCCAGCCATGTCACAGCCTGCTTCAATTCCCAGCTAGTTAATGGCAAAGCAGGATATTTTCTCAGAGCTCAGGGGAACCATCATGCTCTCCCCTCCCAGAAGTGGGTACCCACGGCAATCAGGGTGCTGTTCAGGCTTGTACCTGAGGATGTGGCTGATGGCTCTCAAATGACTGGGCAGAGAAGGGACACAGAATGACCCTGGGACAAAGATTTCATTGGGCATGTAGGTGCAGCCAGCAGAAGCTCATATACTCCCCAGTGCTGGTTCTAGGCCAAAGAGCTGGCTCTCTCCTGAGCCATCTATCGCTCAGGAGGAAGAGAGAGGTTTCTAGGAGACAGGAAGGCCAGGCCCAGAAGCTCCTCCACCAACACCCCTCGGGCTTCTGCACAGTGTGGTCGCCTCCTTCCCCAGGCCACACAGCCAAGGGGAGGGCACCATGCGGTCCTGGCCCTGTCTTAAGTGCAGTCTGCTCTGACAAAACTGCCCTAGACGGGGTGACTGGGACAACAGAAACATCTTTCTCACCCCGATCAGACTGTCCACGGGATGGGTGCTGGTGAGGGCCCCCCTCTTGGTTTATAGACAGCGGTCTGTTTACTGTGTCCTCACGTGGAGGGAGAGGAGAGAAGACTCTGGTCTCTTCTTACAAAGGCACCAGGGCAATCAGGGAGTTAGTTCGGCTCAGGCAGAACCCTTGTGACCTCATCTAACCCTAATTACCTCCCAAAGGTCTCACCTCCAAATATCATCCCCTAGGAGGAGAGAGTATCAACACAGGGGTTTGAGGGGATATGAATATGCAGTCCCCTAGCAGCTCCCCTTCATCACTGGGCCCTTCTTTCCGCTTTTGCATGTTGAAAGCTCTAGAAATGGGTGCATTATCATCTCTCTCAATCCTGGAGTCATTTAAGAGTCCCCAGTCCTCTTTGGTGCTCTAACCCCCATACCCTGAACTCTGTTAACAATGTCATGTTAGCTCAAGCCGAGGCAGTGTAGCATGGTGCCTGTAACACAGGCTTTAGGAGGGGCAGGCCTGGGTAAACTACTCAAAAAAAAATCTCTCCAAGCCTCAGTTGTTCTCATCTGTAAAGTGGGATGATGTTTACCCTCTAGGATTGCTTTGAGAATTCACATAGATACGCATGAAAAGCAACCAGCAGGTAATAAACACTCAATAAACACCAGCCCCTGTTGTGATTAGTGACACCCCCATCACACCCTGTTCTATAACTTTGCATGATTCTCCTCTAGCCTTCTGTTATCTATTGCAGTAGCCACCAGCCACAGGTGGATGTTTAAAGTGCAGTTAAGGGCTCAGGGTGTAGCTCAGTGGTAGAATGCTTACCTACCCTGTGTGAGACATTGGGATTGAACTCCAGAATAATAATAAAAAAAAAAGACAGTTCAACAAAACAAAATGGTCCCTCAGTGGCACTACACTCTTTTCAGGTACTCAACTGCCACACCCAGCTGGTGGCCACATACAGGACCGCACAGAAACAGGACACTTATATCTGGCTGGAAGTTCTGCTGGTGGTGCAGGGCTGCAGGACCCCCAGCCTTAGCACGCAGGACTCCACAGAGCAGCAGTTCCATTCCACCCATCTGCCTCTTCCCTGAAAACCGATTCCTTAGTCCATGTGACCATCACCTGTGGGGCGGCACCCTGAGGAGCACAGCCTTGTGTTAGGGACACTGAGGAACAGGGCGGAGCCAGGCCTCACTGTGGCCCTAGTTATTATGCACAATGGCTCAGAATTCACCCCGCCCAGACTGACAGGGTGCTCGGCTGCATCCTGGGCAGGGTTCTGAAGGATGAGGGTGCACATGACCTTGGTAAATACTCTCTGATTGATCACATAGCTATGCTGTTGGGGGCAGGGAAGGAAACGAGGGAGGGAGGGACTGAAAACTCTCCTGTCCTCCCCCCCTAGACCCAGGAACACAGACACCCAGCCTGGGGACAGGGACAGCATGCACTAGTCACCCTCCAGAGGAAGAGGGCTCAAAGGCTGTCGGTCAGCTCCAGTCTGGGGTAGGAAGTGGGGAAGTGGGACAGTGGCTTGTCCCTGCTGGTCGGGAGAACCCCTACTTCCCCGACAGAGGGTGGGTGCAGTGCTGCTTGCTCTCCAGGTTCCAATAAGGACTGTGGTTTTCAGGGGGGAGGGGGAAGAAAGCCCCTCCAATTCCACCTTTGGCAGGCAGGGTGGTGGGAGGGGTTTCTAGAATGTTCCTTCCATCCCTTGCTTTTGGGAGCCCCATGGGGGGTGGGTAAGGTGGCATGACAAGACACACTCACCCCCGTGTGTGCACAGCCCTGTGTTCCAACTACTAGCCATCCCTGGGGGACCCCACGGCCAGTTCCTGCCATCTCTTGGTCATCTTCAAGCACCTACAGTGTCTGTGGCAGGTACAGGAACAAGATGCTCCTGAGAGGCTCAGGCCACAGAGAGATAACAGGCTCCTGTTCAAATCACTCATAATTGCTGCTTTATTAAATCTCAGATCAATAAGAGGATAATGAGCCTTTCCCCCTTATGGGCTCTGTTTCCAGGTTCCAATACCAAAAAAGCAGCAGCTGGTATTTTAAAAAGTGTGTGCCCAAGAGGGCAGGCCAGCCTCTCCCTGTCAAGGACAGTCCCAGGTTCCAGGGAAAGCCACCTGTCTCCTGCCTGGGATGCATTTCCCTGGAGTGGCATTGCCCCTGGGCACGTAAGCACTGGCTTCTGGGGCTCGGCCACTTCCTGCATCCTGCAGCCTGGACCTGAGTCTGGGCATTGAACAACCACACTGTGCTGCTGGGCCCGACTCCAACCTGGAAGGACAAAAATCAAGGCCTGCAGACGGTGCATCCTCTCTGGTCACCCTGTCTGGAGCCTTCCATTCACCCCTCTGCCTGTGTATGTCCCAGCCCCCGGGGACACAGGGAAGGGGGTGCCTTGGGGT